CTACACATATATAATATATTAGAGTATCTATATACATACACCCACACACACGACATACACTCACACATAGAGAGACAATCACACTCATACACACACACATCACACACAACGACACACACACTACACACCGACAGCACACACAAACACAACACACACTACTCACACACACACAAAACACCCCCATACACAGACACACACACACTAACCACACACACTCACACACAGAAGCACAAACACACACACACGCACACATACACATACACATACACATACACATACTCAGACACATACACATAAACACACACACACACACCCACACCACCCTCAGCACACAACACCCACTCACACACCACACACACACACACACCCCACCCACCCACCCACCCACCCACACCCTCCCACAACCACACCCCACCCACACCCACACACCCACCCACCACCCACACCCACCACCCACACACACACACACACGACACATACACACGACACACACACACACACACACATCCCAACACACACACCTACACTCACACACACACACGCACACATACACACGACCCACACCCACACACACACTACACACTACACCACTCTCTCTCTCTCTCTCTCTCTCTCTCTCTCTCGCTCTCCTCTCTCTCACATTCATATATCACATTCACATCCAACATTCACATTGCTACATTCATACTCACTCACACCCGACACCCACTTAACCACACACACAGCGACACAACACACACTCAAACTCACACACACACACACACACACAAACACCACACACAGACACACACGACCAGAAACACACCCGTACATCATCCCAGTGCCACAAACCACCCACCCCTCTTCAGACAAAACCCCATTAAAAATCAACACATAAACACACACCACACACACTCACCAGACATACACACATACACAAACATGATACATATACACACCCACCCCACTCACACACACCCCCCGCTGCCACCAAGTGCGAAACCGTCGGCCCACCACCTCCACCACTCTCCCCCCCCCCCGAAATCCCCCGCCGTGCCGATCCACCCCAGCCACTCCAGGAGGGGCCAGTGCAAACGAGATGCAGCATTCCCGCCAGCTACCAGCCCAGGAACACACACAAACACAAATCTCCCCTCTCTAGTAGGATGATTTTTGGGCCAAGTACGTAATCCCGTAAAGGTACCCAGATATTGACCTCCTCAACACAGTCCAGCAAAGGACCCTGAACATGGGGGAACCAAGTAAAGATTCCTACTCCACACACTCTACTCTCTATCACATCTTTCCCACTCTACCAACACCTTCTCCACGCCCTCCTTCCTATTCCTGACTCTCCTCCTCCCCCACCTCACTCACACATCTCTCACACTCATCGATTCTCTCACTCTCTTACTCTCTTCGCTCACTACTCTTTTCATCTATCTTCCATAGATAACCTACTATACATAAAAAAACAGTGTTTTAAGGGAGCTAAACAGATCCCCCCCCCCCCCACCCAATAAATATAACAGTGACCCTTAGCATTTATATCCCATATAGATAGTATAAATTTTTTATTGTAAATGTTTTGTTTTGTTTTGTTTATTACATTATTATATTTCTGCTCACATATCAAGCATTGCAATCAAAGATGAGTGTGTTTTGGGTATTCAGCATAAATATTTGTGTTTACAGACCACAGACCCAATTTTCATCCTCATCCACTTCCAAAATTAAATTAAATCATACCACTTATAACTGTGTTGCAGGTCTCGCTTCGGCAGCGATTCAGACTTCACATCGTTTGCAGCTAAAAGCGCATCATTAACTATATAGGAGTAGGCATGCACAGTCATAAAATCTTGTACTATACTAGTGGTGAAGCTGCGTATGGTTTCACGAGAAAGCAGAGTTTATGCTGGAGTTACAACAGGTATGTATTGTACAATGCATTGAAGTTAAAGTTTATGTGGTAATAGATCTGTCAGCTTCAAGGGAATATGGAAAAGGAAGTTATTTAGGCATATAATTTCATATATTATTATGTATTGGAAATCAATCTGATGTTCTAATCCTACCTCCTCCTCTCCACCCCTTTCAATCATGTACCCTTCCCTCTATTTTTTTCCATCTGCACATACTTCATCTTGCTTTCAGATGCTGAGCAATCCATTCCCCACCATGTAGCCACATTGTCACCGCTGCAGCGCTCGGGGCAATCCTGAAAACTTGCCCGAGCTGTGGCAGTCTAGTGAAGAACAAGTTGCCAAGTGAAAGGTATTCTTTACCATCTCTGAAAAATATTTAAGATATATGATAAAACAGATTATACTCTTTTGTGAACTTCAAATATTAGGAACAGTAAAAACTTCATTCTTTTACCTCCTTCTAGCATGACTTCCCATCATCAAAGCCTTTGAAGAGTCTAACTTTTCAGCATTCTGCACTGATCGCCTGACTTTCTGACCCAGTAGACGGGATGGCAGTGTGCTGGTCCCGCTCCCAGGCCTTCCCCCCCGGGCTGCGGGAGAAGGTCAACATAATGATTGCCCGACTGAATGGCACCTAGTATAGATATAGGTTGGTTGGGCTGTTGGGCAGCTTGGAGAAAGGGTGTTGGGGAAACTTTTGTGGGAGTGGTTTTCCCTTCTTTTCTTTTTCCCCTTTCTTGTTTCCCTTTCATGAATTGGGACCATTTTTTTTCCAGTACTTATGTAGCATTCATTTATACACTTCAAAAAAAAAGGAATTTTTGGTTTGTTACTATATTTTTACCAATATGTAATGTAGCATCATTTTTTTTTCCATCACAACTATTCATATCACCCACAGTACTGCTGTCTGTAATTTATTAAATTTATTTTGCAGTAGATGGTTCCATAAGATGACAAATATCCATGTCCAGTGTAATTTGTTTATTTATGGTTTTACACAAAGTGCTTAGTTTCAAATGAGTCTAATATCTGACCTGTTTACCCTTTTTCATTAGTTTACTATTTTCATCATATTTTAATAATCATCATAATGTCAATAATATAATAATAATAATAATATATTAAGTGTCCAACATTAATAGCAATTAAGAAACTAAAAAAGTATTTCCCTACAAGTCAAAAATGGGGAATCAGGTACAATTACTAGGGTTCTACCTACTGGACTCCTTGGTGCTGAGCACTATTAGTATGTGTGCACCAGAATTCACAAGAAATACAGTGGCAGTACAGCCTTGGATTAACATTAATATTAAAGAAAGGGATATAAAGTTAGATAGGTAGGATTAGTAAATGACTCCTGTGATTAAGCACTTTGGAGCCATCTGAAGGAAAGATATTGATAAAACAAGAACAAAAACAGGACAAGGCTTGTATTTATGCCCTGCCTTAGTACCTCAGCTAGCAGCTGTTTTCATCCCCGCCGCTACTGGCTGAGGGTTGCTTTTCCAGGGAGGACTGTTTAATTATTTTTGCCCAATTGCTGCCTCCTCCCCTTGGTAGTAACTGGCCAGCAAGTGTTCTCAGGATTGATTTTGTCCTAACCCTGAGTGTTCTTTTTCTATGAGGGAACTTGTATTCCATGCATAAGGGTTCCACATAATGATTTAATTTTTTGTGCTGTGCTTAGTGTAATACCTTTCAAAGACATGAAATCATACCTCAGTCTATACCACAGTCCAGTTTAATTAAAGATATAGGAGTGAGAATATTTTATCAGAACACATAGGCATATCCCATTATCACTTGAATACTTAGATAAAAAAAAATATTCTTCAATCTGTTGCCAGTTGAAGACTTGGGCCTGACTGACATTATGGAAATGTATGAGTACAAGAGGACGCCAGGCACATGTGGAGATAAACCTGAGAGATGCCCTGGCAGCAGCTGATTCACAAACGACAGACCCATCACTCCAGCTTCCGACACTGGCACAGGTTTAGTCCCTCCGCCTCCTCCCCCTTCCTTTCCTGTCTCTCCTCCTCCTCCTCTCTCCCTCCTTCTCCTCCTTCCTTTCCTGTCTCTCTTTCTCCTTCTCCTCCTCCTCCTCTCCTGCCTCCTTCCCTCCCTCCTTTCTGTCTCTCTTTCTCCTTCTCCTCCTCCTCCTCCCCTCCTCCTCCCCTCCTCCCCTCTCCCCTCCTCCCCTCCTCCTCCCCTCCTTCCTTTCCTGCCTCTCCTCTCCCCTTCTTGGCTTTCTGTCCTCTCCTTCTCCTCCTCACTTTCCTGTCTCTCTTTCCTCCTTCTCCTCCTTTTTTTTCCTTCCTCCTCCTACTTTTCCCTCCTTCTCCTCCTTCCTCCTCTCCTCTTCCTTCCTTTCCTGTCCTCTCTTCCTCTCCACCTCCTCCTCCTCCTCCTCCTCCTCCTCCTCCTCCCCTCCTCCTCACTTTCCTTTCTCTTTTTCTCCTTCTTCTCCCACCTCCTTCCTCCTTTCCTCCTCCTCCTCCTCCTCCTCCTCCTCCTCCTCTCCTCCTTATTAATCCTCCTTCCTTTCTGCCTCTCCTCTTCCTCCTCCTCCTCCTCCTCCTCCTCCTCCTCCTCCTACTTCTCCCTTCATTTCTTTCCTGTCTCCTCCTTCTCCTCCCTACTTCCTTTCCTGCCCCTCCTTCTCCTCCTCTTCCTCCGCCTCTTCCCTCCTCCTCCTCCTCCTCCTCCTCTTCCTTTCCTGTCCTTTCCTTCTCTTCCTCCTCCTCTCTTCCTTTCCTGTCTCTCCTTCATCTTCCTCCTCCTCCTTCCTTTCACTTCCTCCTCCTCTCTCCTCTTTCTCTTCCTCATCCTCCTCCTTCCTGTCCTGTCTCTCCTTCCCCCCCCCCCTCTCTCTCTCTCTCTCCTCTCTCTCTCTCTCTCTCCTCCTCTTCTCTCCTCTCTCTCTCTCTCTCTCTCTCTCTCTCTCTCTCTCATCTCTCTCTCTCTCTCCTTTTGCTATTTTTCTTATTCTTTCTGTTGTTTATGATCTGTATCATTATTATTACTATTATTGTTATTTATATTTTCATTGTCATAGAATGACCACCTGCGAAGTCTCCTGCGCACATGGGAACAGAAACTTCAAGCATCTCAGAGGACAGGACTGAACTGCAAGCAACCATTTCCCAAGTTCAGAACTCAGCTCGACAACTGAGAGAGAATCTGGTGAAGGTATGTAAAAAATGAGGTTTATTTAACAGAATGTAAAATAGTTTTTTTCACAAGACTTTCACTTTCACCTATTTGTCCCTCATCACCATTTTCTTCACCACACAGGAAAAGACAGCCATGGACAGGCAAAACTCCAAGCTGCAGAAGGAGATGTCAGCCTTAAGATCAGAGCTTGATGCCCGCGATGAGGCAATCCGCAAGTCCCAGAGGCTGTTGAGCGATGCACAGAATGACATCAAGAATCTTCATAGGCAGATTAAAGAGGAACAGGAGAAATACCAGAGTGAGTTGTAATATAAGTATTTATTTATTTATTTACAATTTTCTGACATGTCAAGATCTTAGATTATTAGTGGCATATACAAAAATGTAGGCAATAGGGTGGGGCATGGGGGGAGTATTTGTGGATTTCTAGAATGGTTAATGGTCAAAACAAATAAATGAGCCAGACATCAAAGGGCATATAGCATTATGATAAAATTCTGTGGCAAAAAGGGTAAAAATGAGTTAATGATTCAATTAAGTGGCTAGAAGGGGATGAAGAGGAAAGGAAAAGGAGGGAGTGGGAAGAGAAGACCATGCAAAAATTGGTTGAGGCAAGGGCTGAAGTCCAAGACAGGAGTGATCTCCAACATTTGGCCTCAGTCTGCCCCCAAAGGAGTGGGTGGTATTTATTCATTGAAAATTTTCTGCCACGTCAACATCGAAGGTCATTGGCATGTATTAAATATAGACATGGCGGGAAGCTTGGGGGCAAAGCCCGCTGGTAAGACAGAGCTATATGACATCAAATATGGCGCTAGGATAAAGTATAATAGCGAAAAGAGTTAAGAATGAGTTAATCATTAGGGTAAAGTTACAGGTTGAACAGTATCCTGAGGGTAGTATGGTAGTGAAAAGGGGGGAGAGGGGGAGTTAACCCATTCACCCTGGATTTATGTTCTGTCCCCTGTAGTTTTGGGTGAATTTTGTGACATACAGTTGGCTCCACATGCGCTCAGCTGGCAAGGAGTCTATCAGGAGGCCCTAGTTACCAATCCTGATTTTTCCATTCCTTGAATTGGTGGGAATTTTTTTTTTTCTTTTTAATACCACTGCTATCCATACTGTTATAATTGTTATTGATGTTGTGATTATAAAATTGTCATTAAAATATTTTAGACAATGAAATGATACAAAAGACTGAAATGATACAAAAGACCCTTTCTTAAAGTGAAAGTAAAGGGTAAAAAGATGAGATAGGTAGTTCTAATAACTGGCTATTTGGTGATTAGAGCCATCTGTGTGTAAATACAATAAATAAACTTTGGGCATGGCATCTATTCTTGCCACATGGGGCAAATGGGTTAGTAGGAAGAGTAGGAAATATAATAAAGAATAGGGTAAGTGGACAGAACAAGGGGATGAAGAAAAGGAAAGTAAAGGAGAAGAAAAAAAAGACTATGCAAAATCAGTTGTGAGGGCTGATGACCAGAGTAGAGGCCATCAACAAGAAGCAAGGAATTGGAGGGTAACATGACATTGATAATTTTTTAGCCATGTGATTTCTTTTCCTGTTGGATCAGACTGTTGAAAGTGCTGTGGCATGTGTAGCTCTCAGGAAGCAGCTGGAAGATAAATTGGAGACCTGCCATAGTTTTTAAATGGTCTTAATGGTCCCCCCAAAAATAGTGTGAAAGAGCTATGAACTCTTAAGTGTCATAGCTTTAAGGCATTTTATAAATTCATAAATTTTTGATGTTAGGTTAGGTCTAGAATGAAGTAAATAGATAGATATCATGTTTATGTCCTTTCTGAGTGGAGTGCATTTATTTTTATTTATTTATTTTATTTTATTTTATTAATTTTTCAGAACTTCAAGAGTGCAACCAGAAGCTAGATGATGAACTGAAGAAAGGAAGAAGAGATCATGATGACTTACAGAAGGAGATCGCAAAACTTGAGAAAGCCCAGAGTCAGATGAAGAAAGAGGTATGACTAAGCGTCTTGTGGCTGACTGGGTATAGCCATCAGCTTAGTCTTCCATATGTTGTTAAAAAAAAAAAACTCCCAATATATTTTACTACGAAAAGCATTGGTTTCATGACTAAAGATCGAAATGTGTCGCATTTGGTCTAGAACCTAATTTTGGCTTCCTTTTCCAGAATTCAGAGCTGGAGCTGATAATTAGCAGCCATGAGAAGACCCTGACAGAGAAGGAAAGTCAGCTGGAGGAAATGACAAGGAAATTCACAGAGTTGAAACGTATTCAAGACATGATCCACAACATATCTGCTGGAAAACTGATGTAGTTTCAGAAGGGTTTAAAGTGTTGGGGAGCAGGTTATTATGTAGCTTAAAGAAAACTGCTTTCCAAAGCACTCCTGCCCTTTAGGCAAGTTTTTGCCTGCAAAAATCTAATTGAAGATATAAAAAGTAAAATATCCAGAGTAAATTCTTAACTTAAACATGGTATTAAGAACAAAGTATGAAACATTTTTAACTAGTGTTTATAAAGCATATTTAAAAATATAAGATACTGTTTTGTAAGTATAGATTGATATTCTTGATATTCTGTCCATATTTCTAATTAAAGGAATGAAATCCCAGAGATTGACATTTTACCTGGAATCCTGGTTTCCTGGGAACATACCCCACTAGCGCCTTGGTAAAGAAAGTCAATGCCAAGTTTGGAAAATACTACTGGAAAACAGCCCTAATTCTACCATTCTCTGTTTGCACACTTGATTCCTTATTTTTTAGCTGCAATTTTCCTAGTTTGGGCTGATTAACTTCTACCACCCAAATTCGTATCTAATATAAGATAACCCCTGCCTTTAATAGAACAGTTACCCTCATCCGTTATGTTAATTTTAGTCCCACCTGAAATATAATATTAAGGAAAATATTTGCGTTGACCGGGTTTAGAAAACGAGATCTCTACGCCGAACTTTTCAATACAGCGCATCATCATAAACCCAATAGAGAATTTTCCTGTGTAAGTCACTTGAGGGTTGGTAGCGAGCCGGGAAAGAAAAAGAGGGGGGGGAGGGGGAACACGCAGAGTATTACTAGTTTTATTTTCATGAAATTTTACAAAATTCTCTACATACGCCTTGAGGACTTGCCAGCCCACAGCGGGCGTGTTCCCTGGCCATTCCTCGCATGTCCAGCGGATGTGAATCCCTCCTACAGGAATAATGCTCGAGAAAGGGCGACCTGCTGCCCCCATGAGAGCGAGGGCGTGTCGAGCTACGCCGGACTGTTTTGGCGTTGGTAGCTGCTGTCCTGACAATTTCGGAACCGAGTCAGTCACATCAGTATTACTACGGCCCTCAACACCGAAGCCGCGAAGTTCAGGCCATTTCAGCGACCAGCGTCAGCACCCAAGGGACACCTCGCTCAGGCTTACAGACTGGAAGAAAAGATAAATATCAGAGGAGGGCAATGGGCTGGATGTTATCACAGTGCAGCAGCACAAACCGGGGATAAATGTAGCATATAGTTGCAAAACCACTTAATGTGCAACTGACCACAAAACGCATTCAAACGCTGTACTGAGAATACAATTTGGTAGAAATGCGAACCAGTATCATATTCATATAACACCTTGGAAACTAATTTGAAAGGCGACATTTAAGTAAACCGGTCCCAGGGATGGGAAAGTTTTGTATAACAAAGGATAATTCAAATTATGATTAAATTAAATATACCAGAATTTTTAAAAAATCCATATGTACCAAGTCCTGAGGAAAACATTCACTTAAAAGGGCCACCAAACCCAACGCTTATCCTGTCAACCACAGCCAGCGTTTACTGATCTCGGTCAAATCACAACCATACTTTTCGGTTCATAAAACTCTTGTCAAAGCGGGGAGCCACAAGAGCGTACGGATATTTCAGGGGAGGGTTAGGGGCTGGATTTGCTTCGTGTCTTCCAAGTCATCTCGCCCTTGCAGGGCTAGGAGACGGAGAATGGGACCAATACTGGGGACCCCCCCTACCTTGGGCCACAGCCCTTGACTCGCCTCATTTGCACCCCTTCTACTATCCACTTCCTAAGGTGTAAAAGCCGTGTTGAAAGGATGAAAGGCTGACTTTGTGCTAGTCATGAACGGCCTGATAGAGCCAGGCACGTTATTCCATTGTTGGGACCCTGAGGGGTGGACCATTTCTTTCTCCAGCATACTCCAGGCTTACCATGGCCATAATTTGCACCTTTATTAGGGTGCCCCTCCTCATTACTTACTTTCACCTCGGTCCAGGTCAGTCTATCCTGGTCATTACTCAACCTCCAGAAAACATTCCTCTACTTCATCTCCACCACTCCCAAAACTGTCTTCGCCGAGTTCCCCCTCCCTCCTTTATCACTAATCTGCATTCTTACTGTCTACATCCCTCAACACTACTCCTAACCCTTTCTGAATACTAATGGGAGCTATTTTCCCCTTATTCTGACAACAGTCTTCTTCAGCAATGTCTCCAAAAATAAGTAGGCAAAGTTTCCTCCTGCTTGCGGCCCGATGGGTCCCGCCTCGTCACATCCACATCCCAAGCCAACTCCCCCAATCCCTTGCCCGTTGTTGTCGTGGGGGGGCTTAGGAGGCGGAGACTGGGACCCAATGATGGGGAACTCCTCAACCTTGGGACTCAGCCCTCGACTCAACTAATTATGCATGGTATTTTTTTCCCTTCTCACTTTTGTTTCTGTCCCTTCACCAAACCCTTCTGCTATGCACCTCCTAAGGTGTGAGAGCCGTGCTGAAAGGATGAAAGGCTGACTTTGTGCCAGTCCTGAACGGCCTGAGGGAGCTATGGGCACGGTATTCCCCTGATTTTAGTTATCTAGCCCTTACCCCTCAGGGGACCCTGAGGGGTGGACTGTTTTATCCCCAACATAATCCAGGCTTACCATGGCCAGTAATGAAAATATATCCCCACTGTTAGGGGCAATGAGGCTTGCCCCTTTATCAAATAGCCCTAACGAAGTAAACCCACCCGATTCCCCGACCCCAGGCTCTCCTTTGACCACTGCTCCGAACACTGCAATAACTACCCCTTCACCAATGCCTACTGGTACAGTAGCCAACAATCAACCCTCAAGGAACATTTCCACTCTCCCAGCATGCTCAACTTCAACACCTCTACACCCACAACCTCCAACATCAACCACCCCATCCTCCCTTATTAATACCTTACAGCCTTATAGCCCACCCCTCCATAACACTACCTCCCTCAACACTACTCCATCTTCGTCACGGCCTCGCCCTTCTACCACCCCTATCTCTAAAACATCTTGAATACTCTCTTCAGTGCAGCCAAATGGGACCGATTTTTCGTGATCCCTCCACAACTCCCTACTCTGACAACACCCTTCTCTTCCAACAATGCCTCCAAAAACAAGTAGGTAAGTCTCTTTCCGTAGCCGACCCGACCGCTCCCGTCTTGTCACAGTAACATCCGAAAACCAAGCTATAGCATTAACAAAACTAACTGACCTATATGGTAACCCCATCCTTGCAGAACCCCATCCAACCCTCAATACTTGCACCGGAACAGCCTCAATCTCCCCAGCAAATTGCCCAATCTATGACAAAGATTGGTCAGATTGTGGAGATCTACTTGCCTGTCTCACAGACTACGATGCAACATCAGTACAATACTACTCCATTCCCCCCAGAGGTCATCGAAAGAAACCCACTAACATAGCCAAAATTACCTTACGTAGACATGACCTTCCCTTTAACGTCTACATAGGAGGAGAATCCCTCCCTGTTCGTCCATACCAACCTCCTCCACGTCAGTGCCAAAATTGTTGGCGTCTAGGACACCCAGCCAAACATTGCCGTTCCACAGCCAGATGCCCACTATGTGCCCAACCTGGCCATACCCGATCTAACTGCTCTGCACAATCACGCACATGTGCCAACTGTGGCGGCCCCCATAATGTATTTTATAGGGGCTATCCCACCTACAAATTTGAATCTGAGGTAGCAACTCTCAGATTCAAACTTGGACTCACACTACGTGAAGCCAGGCAGGAAGCACGTCGACGTGGATTCTCTCTTACTCCTTACTCCAGTAATACTGCTCATTCCTAACACTTCTCCTAAACCCACCCCTCCTACATCTAACTCCCCACTTCTACCTCCTACCTTCCCCAGTCAAACTCTTTTGCCATCCTAAATCCAGACACTCCAGTCTCTACTACAGATACTCCAATCACCACTACAACCCCAACACCTTCCCCTCTCCCTCCTCGCACTACCCGTAACAGACAGAACAAACGTTCCACCCCCTCTTTCCCCTACCACACAATCATCCCCACCATCCTTTGCCCGTACTCTTGAGACACCAGTCCTCTCTTCCCCCCCTCACAAGAAATCCTTTATCCCCAAAACTCCCCAACCAACTCCACAGAAGAAACTATTGAAATATTCAAGATTACTTAATGAAACTGACACTCAACCTACAACTCCTGCTCCTTCCACACTCCAAGTAATTGCTGATATCCATCCTCCTCCTACGATATCCCCCCTACACCCTATCCTCCTACCCCCTCCCAACACAGCCCATCCCCCCTGACCCCAACCCCGCCCACATTAACTCTCCCACCATCCCCTCTATCCCTTCCACTCCCTCCTGGATACACACGTGAATCCCTTATGTCACAAGTATCCCCTTCCTCAGACCTTCCATCTCCTAATACCCCTCCTGATAGAACACCAACTCCCACAACCTCTCCCATCTCAAACCTCTCAGTCCTTATCCCACCCTCTAGCTGCTTCCCCTTCAAATTCTCCAGCACGTACTACAATCTATATCACTAAATCAACGAAAGTATAACTATCCTTCATTGGAATATTCGCGGTTTCCGCTCCCACAGACCTGACCATCATATCCTTTCCTCTTATAACCCATCTATTGTATGCCTTCAAGAAACCTTTCTTATGCATATCCTTTATCTAATATAACACCCAACCTTAACCCTTTCACTCACTAATTCCTTTGCCCAGCTTAGACAACTAATCACTAACTCAACCACCCTTCACTAACATTAACTATAGTGCTACATGACCTTAGATGTCTAGCACATTTATCTTGCTTTTAACCATTAACCATTAACCATCCCAAGCCAAAGTATTACTGGCCCATTCTTGCTTAGCCTCTTCCCTCCCGGCAAACTGCCCTGTCTTCGAGGATTGGTCTCGTTTGTCTCTTGGACTGCGAATGCAGAATCAAGACAATGCTACGTCATCTCCCTAGAGGCCGTTGCAAGTCCCCCACTAATATTGCCAAGATATGACCTCCCCTTTAATGTTTACGTTGGCATCATATTAACCTCCCCCCCCCCCTCCGTCATATCAGAATTGTTGCGTCTAGGCCACCCTGCCAAACACTGCTGTTCTACAGCCTGATGCCCTTTGTGTGCCCAACCTGTGCATGATCAAAATGCTCCGAGGGTATTTGTTACGGACAGCGACGCAC